TTAGAAAATATAGGTTATAGAATTGTGGCAGTTGTCTCTGACAATAATTCAATAAATAAAAAGCCATGTCATTATTTTGTATGCCTCCAAAAATTAGTATTGTGTATAAAAACCCTGCAGACTTATCTCGGCCACTATTTTTTGTTATTGACTCAGTGCACATCTTGAAGTGTGTCAGGAACAACTGGATAAATCAAAAAACTTCTAGGCAATGTTTATTTTATCCAAATTTTGAAAATTTTTCCAAGGTCGAAACAGCGGCATTTGCATGCATAAAAAGTCGTCTCCATTCATTAGAGGCAGGCAGAATTGTAAAATATAGTTATGGTTTGACTCTGAAAGCTCTGTATCCAACCAATTTGGAAAGACAAAATGTCAAGCTAGCATTACAAATATTTGACAGTCGTCTTGCAGAGGCAATAATGGTTATTGGTAAAGAAAATAGTATTTTAAAATTACGAAACAACAGCTGAATTTATTAAAATTATATCTACATGGTGGTCAATAGTCAATGTCAAAAGTATCTTTAAAGGACACCATAAGATGAATGAGTATCAAAAGCCGTTAACTGTGCAAAATGATGATGTTAGATATATTTATTTAAATAAGTTACTTGAGTGGTTAGATCAGTGGAAACTTTTAGGCTGTTCTAGTGGTGGACTAACTAAGGAAACACATTTTGCATTAACACATACTAGCTGTTGAAAAAATATTTTCGCATCTAACAGTTACTGTTACACATTATTGTGAATTCCTTATTATTTTTTTCTACTCATGTATGCTGTCTGTTTAACCTTGAGATCACTTGAAAAGTAATAGTAACGAAAAATTCATTTCTATGCATCTATGTAAATCAGTGTCTGGGTTGTATTTTAAGTGGTCCTTATTATTAATGTGGATATCAAATTAGTGTTAACATATGGTAAGATTCTTTATCATTATAATTGACTTGAAATATTGAAAAATTCATTTCCTTGCCCTTAATTTGTTGTGTAAAAAAGTTGTCTGCGTTATGTTTTTATGTGGCCACTACTTTTATCATTTGGGTATAATTTTGGTGTTAACATGATAAAATACTTTATCAAAGTAACAGTTATATGTTTCAAAATGCTTACAAATGTTTATGTATATAATAACTGCCACTGTTATACTGGTAATGGGTCATTATACTTTTGTTGATATGGACAGATATTGACTGTTTTACATTCAGATGACTTGAAATATTGAAGAAGGCATGTCCTTTTTTTAATTTCTCATCGCGTAAAAAAAAGTGTCTCGGTTTGTGTTTTAGTGCGGCCACTACTTTTATCATTTGGATATAAGTTTGGTGTTAACATATGGTAAAATGCTTTCTCCTGATAAAAGTGATATGTTTCAGCATGGGTACAAAATGATATGTATATAATAACTGCCACTGTTATACTGGTAATGGGTCATTATACTTTTGTTGACATGGACAGATACTGACTGTTTAACATTCAGATGACTTGAAATATTGAAGAAGGCATTTCCTTGCCTTTAAATTGTCATTGCGTAAAAAGGTGTCTCGGTTTGCGTTTTAGCGCAGCCACTACTTTTATCATTTGGGTATAAGTTTGGTGTTGACATATGGTAAAATGCTTTCTCCTGATAAAAGTTATGTTTCAGCATGCTTACCGAATGATATGTATATAATAACTGCCACTGGTATACTGGTAATGGGTCATTATAATTTTTTTGATATGAACATATACTGACTGTTTTATATTTAGATGACTTGAAATATTGAAGAAGGCATGTCCTTTTTTTAATTTGTCATCGCGTAAAAAAGTATCTCGGTTTGTGTTTTAGTGCGGCCACTACTTTTATCATTTGGGTATAAGTTTGGTGTTGACATATGGTAAAATGCTTTCTCCTGATAAAAGTGATGTTTCAGCATGCTTACCGAATGATATGTATATAATAACTGCCACTGTTATACTGGTAATGGGTCATTATAATTTTGTTGATATGAACATATACTGACTGTTTTTTTATATTTAGATGACTTGAAATATTGAAGAAGGCATGTCCTTTTTACTTCCTTGTACGAAGTAAAAGGAAGTATTGTAATCGCGAAAAGTTTCAGGCAGCATATTTCACCGAAAATATCCATTTTGACCGCTATCGAATGCAATTTAACGATGTTTTTGCGGGACCATATCTGTACGTAAGGAACAGAAATAAAATACTCTTTTCCTTCCTTCAAAAAAATTATAAAACTGCTTAAAAAAACTTAAACTAAAATTAATTCTGAAGAGAATTTTTCGTGGCTTCTGTACGAACGTATGTACGTACGTTCGTGCGTACGTACATATCTCACATAACTCAAAAATGACGAGTAGCCTCAGAACGTTGAAATTTTGTATATAGGGACTGCTATAACATGTATATGTGCACCTCGTATTTTTGGTTACGCAAATCGGCCACACCAAACGTATATAATATATTTATATGTATATCCACTCTATGACTTGAAATATTGAAGAAGGAATTTCCTTGCCTTTAATTTGTCATCGTGTAAAAATGTGTCTGGGTTATGTTTTAAGTGGCCACTACTCTTATCATTTTGATATAATTTTTGTGTTAACATGTATGGTAAAATGTTTTATCGAAGGTAACAGTTATATGTTTCCAGCATGCTTAGAAAATTGTATGTTTATAATAGCTGCTGCTATTATACTGGGAATGGGTCATTATAATTTTGTTCATATGGGACATGCACTGACTGTTTTATATTCAGAGCACTTGAAAGATGATAATATTAAAAAAATTCATTTTCGTGCTGTTGAGTGTTTGCTGCATAAAATGGTATCTGGGTTGTGTTTAAATGGCTACCACTTAATGTTTAGTTAAGTGGTTATCATTTGGTGTTAACATACTGTAAAATGCTTTCTCATGATAAAAGTTATGTGTTTCAGCATGCTTACAAGATGACAAGTTTATGGTAACTGCTGCTTTTATACTGAGAATGGGTCATTATAATTTATATTTTTTATATGGGCATGTACTGACTGTTTTACACTTAAAAAATTGAAAAGATATTGAAAAATTCATTTCCTTGTCTTTAATTTGTTGTTGTGTAAAAAAGGGTCTATGTTGTGTCTTTAAGTGGCCATTACTTATATCATTTGAGTATAATTTTCATGTTACCATATGATAAATTACTTTATCAAGATAACAGTTATGTGTTTCAGCATGGCGACAAAATAACAGGTTTGTAATAACTCCTACTATTATTCTCGGGAATTGGCTGAATAAAAGGGTGTCTCTGAGATTAGGAGCACTCAATTTCACAAACCTGTGATTTTCATGTGCATTTTGAAATTACCGGTGTCCCATAATTAAGACTGGTGGCTTTCTGGACAAATCAATTTTGATATATTCTTTGCTTAAATTAAACAAGCCTGATAGCGAGTAACTTAGAAGATCACGATTTTAGCTTGGAAAAATTACAACAAAATTGTGTTGCATGTAGTGACCAGATACTTTCAAATTGGATACTGGTGCATAGGTAAAAACATTTTTATTATTTTCTATATTTGAAACATTAACTGATAATCACTTCCTTTACACAACATCAATAAATGTTTTTACATATACTGGTGATGCTGACATCCATTTGCTGTTGAATGTATCTTTATATGCTTCATAAATAATAATAGCCATCGTATAAAATTTAATATCATTTGTGCACCTGAAGTGTTTTAAATGGTAATGGACGGTCTTCTCAAGTGTTTGCCCGATATTTATCCATATTATGGCAGTATCGTAATACATTTTGAAACTATTAATTGGCTGTTGTAAAAAGTTTATAACGGTGTTTGTAATTGCCAGACAAAATGGGTTGAAATTTAACGAATAGAAACTTGAACTTGCAGTATCAAAATTTAAATATTAAGGTCACATAGTCTCATCTTATTGTTTCTGATGAGACCCAATTAATATAGAAGCAGTTTTGAAATTTTCACACCTGTTAATAAATAAGAATTTATGAGATTTCTTAGTATGGCATATGCTTAATGAGATTTCTGCTTCAATTTTTACAAGAAAGTTTGAATAATTTATTGATAAAAAGAGATCAGCTGGTTTTAACTTATTTGTATGTTATAACTTAGGTGTTGTGTTGTTATGCTGACTGCTTGCATAAAATTGTAAATAAATTTTTTTTTATTTTTCACTTGTGAATCTTTATTTTCAAGTTCAGCTATATAACTAACACAATACAGTTAAGTACATATACAACTAATATTATTGGTTCTACAGATTTAAGCAATAATTTTAAATTGCACATTGAATTATTTGCTAAGCAAACCTCTGATATACTAATTTATTTGAAACTTGCAAGACACATAGCATATTATAGACAAAATTTAGTGCATTTTTATACCATTTTCTTTTAAAGACAAATTACTGATTGGAAGAAAAATGAAATGATAAGTAATAGTTTGTATGCAGATAATTTGGGTTTTTTTCATAAATATTAGAAAAATATAAAGCAATATTAAATTATGAGGGAAAAGTCAGAAATTCCTTTTTTGAGTTAGTATGGCTGATTTTTAACTTTTTAAATGCTGCTGTGAAACCTACAAGGAAGTATAATTCATTAAAGCCAAGAAATAAGAAACAAAAAATTCTTAAATTTATGTCAAATTTTATTGTGTTAAATTTTGAAGTAATTAAATTATTCATTATATATAATTGAATCTCTGAATAAAATCCCACCCAAGTATCTATATCAAATAGTGAAATCAACGTTAAGTACGGCACTAACGCGCAGGCTGTTTTGTTTCGTTGCTCTCTCGGGGTTTCGACATAGACGACTACGCGTGACGTCACAATCCAGTGTCCCGGCTTCCTTCTATAAGGAGGTGTTGGCAGAACACGCTGTGTTCTGAAATCGTGGCAGAGACCGATTTTTGGCGCATGCGCAGATCTTTAAAATTGTTGCTCTATGAGAAAGTCGGCCGAGAAAATCGCTTCGGGTAATAAGAGTTGGCGCCAATGATTTCCGAATCAGCAGATATACTTTCTCCTTTCAATCTTAGATTATGTAAAAAATGTCTTTGTTTAAATCTCTTAAACCAACCACGATTTGCGGAAAATGATACCTTTTTTCCATCTGACGAAGTCGACGGTGATTCATTCTTAAGTGCTTTTTAAATCTTTAAATTATTTTCTTATTTGTAGTAGCATTATTATCAACTGGAATCTGTTTTTGATTTTGGTTTTCTATCCATATCACTACTGCCTTTTCCATATTTTCCATTCTGTCATCTATTCATTCATTCTATCTATTCTAACCTCTTTGAAATCAGACTAGTGAAAGGAAAGCAATTGGCAAAAAGCTAATTTCCGGTGGCATCCGTGATGGCGTTTATTGGATTCATGCTTTAGATTTGCGGCAAAGGATTGATGTTTATTGACAATTAGTTACGGCTTTTTTAAAGGTAATATTGAATTATACTCAGAAATTTAATAATTTTTAATTTTGTGTAATGTGATTAAATATATATGTGTGTATGAAAAGTTTCATTGAAACAAAAATCTGAAACCAGATTTAAGAATAGGCATTAAAAAGCAACATTTTTGGTAACATTATTTTTATCGAAGTAATGATTTTCTTTCAGTATTGAAAGAGCAGTTTAGAATTTCTATTAAATGTTTTGATGTTTGCTTTTATAAGTTAACGTAAATTTATTGTTGTGTTTTATTCGGTATATTACCTTCTAAACGAGTGCTTCTTAATTGTGACATTAATCCAAATTGTCGGTAAAAGTTTACAATAGGGTGCCCCTTGTTTATTGGCGATTCTTTTTTGACACCAAGACAAAACCAAAATAAGAAGTCAAAGAATTACACAAGATCTGTGTTCATGTACACATCGATCTAGTTTTACTTAAAAAAACATCCTAGAATTGCACAAACTAGGTATTGTGCACTGCCTTAAATATGTCCATGTACACATCAATCTATTTTCATTTAAATAAAATCGGGAAGCTAAAACAAAGTTAAAACTATCGTGGTAACCAGAAGTGAGGTTTCATCGCCAAAATTTTTAAAAAATTGTCGCCAATCGAAGGGGCACCCAATTCTACACTAGAGCCAAACTGTCTACTAAAATCACAGCGTTTTGCCATTTTTTTTTAAAGCCAGTGTTAGTTTCTAAACAGACAGCTATCAGCTTTTACATATTCAGTTAGTGCAGTCATGTTGAATGTTCATTTATCCTTAATACATTACACTAATTGTTTTACCCACTAGTTAAAATGGTCTGCGGTTTAGATGCTACCTGTATTATTAATCTATTTTAAGCAAATGTAAATAGATACGTTGTTAAAAGAGGATAAGGTACTTGTCCATTATCCAGGCTTGAATATTTTTTTAATATTATTTACTGATACTAGGGAGAGATTTGGAATCTGAAAGATTACAATATTCCCATCCCTTTCCATTTGAATTCCGAAAAAGACTAGACCGTACAAACCAACTCTACAAAGTCGTTGAAACAATAGTTGAAGGTATGAAGAACGAGAAGATTACAGGTGAAATATTCGTAGACAACTCCAAGGCTTCCGATCGTGTATAGCTGGAAGCACTCCCGTATTTCCCAAATTACATCACATCTACCTGAGTGGTAGACACTTCATCATTCATGTCTTCGGCTCACATTCCACTTAATGCCCTATATTAGCAGGCGTAGCCCAGGAGTCTCTCCTGGCACCCAAACCTTTTAATATATACATGAACGACATTCATAAATCACCCAACATGGCACTCACGATGTACGCAGGTGATAGAGTGATCCTGACACAATGTGCATTTGTTGGATCAGTCATACTACAACAGTTACAAGAACACATAAACATACTTGAGATTTGGCTTCAAAAAATGGAAAATTCTGTTCAACGTAGACAAGAAACATGCTATCTTGTTTATAAAAAAAAAAAAAAAAGGAAATTGGCAAACATTTTCACTTTTATGGAGCATCTATTACCTGGGCTAAGGAGGTCCTTTATCTTGGGTGATCCTCAGTAATTCTCTCACGTGGGCCCCACACATAACATCTTACAGAAGTTTCAAGCTCGTAAAGCAAATTCCCCTTAATTGCTCGAAACGACATTCTGTCTATGGACAATGAATTACTCATTTATAAGTCCGTATTGTGTCCTATGCTCTGTTATGCTTCCCCAGTATGGGTGTATTCTTGCAAATCAGTTACTGTCTGTCTGCGGTAAGAACACCTCCCGTCACGGTGTCTGGCGGGTGGCGGTCGCTATAGCAACAGGGCTAGTATATTTCAAATAGGGACAAACCAAGGATTGCTAAATCCAGTCATTAAAATATGTATGACTTTAACAATCCTGCCAACGGCAAACGCCCCATGGCGATACTTAATGTAAGTACTGAGTGATGTTTTCTACTAGTACCTGTTTTTCACCCAGCACCTGTATTATATACTGTACCCATGATTATACTATGATGTATATGTCTCCTCTTTTATATGTATTTACCTTAAATGTGTTTATTTTGTATCTTGTTATGCCTTTTAAAAATACCAGTGTCCACTCAGTACATAATATTTAACTCAATGTATTCAAACTTTGTACAGTACGTACTTGCCCTTTAAATCTCTGCCCCTTTAAATGTTCTTGCCAAAGGAACGGCACTTACTTATTGCTTATATTTCCATGTGATATATGTCTCTCTTTCAGCTTATCAGCTTCCTTCCCCCATCACTCAACTCTGTTTCGGTTCATATTTTGATTCTTTTTCCAAATTAAAGTTATATTACCACTTTACCGTATTAATTAATTATCATCAACCACTAGATTTCAATAATTTCAAATTAACTTGATGTTACTTGTTGTACTGCCTGTTACTTAACTTTTTCTACCTTAAGGAATATTCACATGGTTCAATTAACTGTTAAAACTTTTAGGATTTTTTTGTTTTGTTAATACAAACAAAATTAGGAAAATTTAATTGTTTGACAGAGGTAGGGCCTTCGCCCCAGGTACTGAAGTGTATACACATCATTCTCCTATGAAACAATGAGAAATTTGAAGTTAGCTTAGTAATTCTGTAAAAACTAATCATGCAAGAAACAAGTCAGTGTGTTAATTTACACTGTAATCAACTGGATTTGCATTGACATAGTAGATTGGAGCATTTATGTCTATAACATGGTAACAAAACCCACAAAAAATGACCCCACTGGGATAATTGCCCACGCAACAAATACCCACACCTCTGAAAGCGCACATTGATAAAAGCCCACATAGGTATAAGCCCACGTTGCTAAAAGCTCACACTGACAAAAACCCATACCGATATATATATGCTACGTTAAAATGAATATTTTTTCCCTTTTTTTCTTCAGCAGCAAGTAGATTCATGAATGAAGATAAAATAAAAAAATTAATTAAATGACAAATAATTGAACAATAAATTTAAGTAGAGAAACAATTTCATTTTGGGCTCCAGCTGAATTAAGAGAGTCAATCAAAATAATTGTAATTATAAACATATACATGTATGTGTAACTTTGTTATTATATTTACGCGACAAATGGAAGTGCCCTCTATAAGTCTGACAAAGGGAGGTGAAAGGGAATACTGGCCATACTGCTGCTTTGACAGAAAATCAAAATGCAGCATGTGTGTAACTAAGATGTACATGTTTTATTAAAAATATAGTGAGTCCTCTTTAACCCTTTGCGGCGCACTATACGTTAACGTCGGAATTTCAACAAAAAATGTTGTATGCAGTCTATTTAGTCCTAAAAGAGTATACAGGTAAAATTTTGTAAAAATTGCACTTACCGTTTTAATTCTGTGGGTGTTCCATGAGGTGGAACACTGCGCCGCCAGAGTTTTTAAAAGTGTGACTAAGCGAGCATTGCAGGGAAGCGTTTGTATAAGAATGAAAAAAAACTCTGTATTATGGCTGTATATATGGTTTCCTGGATATACACCATATTCTTGAATATATATGGATAAGTGAGATAAATATCTATATACACAAGTCCTATATACAAAAATATTTACAAATTTTCCTATTTCTTAGCTTTGTGAAATTGTTCAAAGCAAGTCACACCTTTTTGATGGAAGCACAAACCAACTACTATTAATATTAACAATAAAGAAAAATAAGCCTATAATATATACATACAGGAAAAATATCTACACAATTATTGAAAATAAACGGGAATGAGACTAAAAAGCGACAGCAAAAAATTCGCGCAGGTCTAAGTAAAGATGAGTCAAGCTACTAATAAAATTCCTGCCTAAAAACTACTCCCAAAAAATTTGAGATGCCAATATTAAGGCTTTCATATCACAAAAACACACCTCACCCCTCAATACTGATTTGTTTGAATTCATTCCGCCCCAATACAACGGAAACAGAAAACGTAAACAACGGGTGTTCTCTCCTAAGCACAGATGTTCTGATTCGTAACAGCATGAGATTGCTAAAGGCACAGTGTTCCCGCTAATGGAACACCCGGGTTTATTCAATGATTCTGCGTATGGTTTTTGTATGAAAGATTAAAAAAAAATATAGAACAAATAATTTGGAGTACAGCCAGCAAAATTATGCCTAATTTTTTTTCCAAATAAAATTTATTATCCAGTTCTTTGATTATTAACTTGACTTTTTTTATCATTGCGTTTAGTTTATCTCTGACAGTAAACAGATAAACACTTTTTCCTTGTAATCTAAATTTAATTCGTTTAACTTTCCAAAAATATCAGCTAAATATTCTAAACGCACCAACCTTCATTCACTAAATAAACATTTTTGCAATTCAAATTTTGAGTCACTGAGGAAAATTTTAATTTCTGATTGAACTTTAAAAAGACTATTTAAAATTTTGCCTTTGGATAACCACCTTAGTTGGGGGTGTAATAAAAGCATTTCATGCTGACTGCCCATCTCTTGGTATAAAATTGTAAATATTCTTGAATTTTAAGCTCGGCTTTAATAAAATTAACAGTTTCACAGCTTGATTCAAAACGATTTTTGGAGATAGTTTTTTTGGCTACTAAAGCTTCACGATGAATGGAGTAGTGTAGTAAGTAAATTTAGTTTCAGGTGCAACTTTCTTTATTTCAGAAGTAACACCAGAAAGTTTTCATGTTAAAGCCTGAGCACCGTCACTACATGGTGAAAAGCACTAATTCCAAGGAATATCATTCTCTCACATAAAATTTTCAGTTACTTTGAAAATTTCATTTGCAGTTGCTTTATCGTGAAGAGATTCACAAAATAAATATTACTCTGTGGCAATTTGTTTATCTTTTTTGAAAGGTATGTAAACTAATAATTGAACAAAGTTTGTTATATCAGTACTTTCATCCCGTTTCAATGAGAAATACTCACTGTTTTATTTTTTGATTATGTGTCTCTTTCATGGAATTTTCTATTTCATGAATTTATCGACTTACTGTATCATTTGATAATGAAGCCGTATTAAGTTCATTAGCTGCTTTTTCCTTGAAAAATGTTAAAATGTTATCTTTAGCTGCCAGTAATATAAGGTTTTCTCCAACAGTGTGAGCCTGTCCAGTCTTGGCAATTCTTAGGCTTACTAGTTATGTTGTTAGTAGGTCAAAAAAGAAGAAAAGAGAATCATGTTATGAAAAATTTATAAAAGATCTGTTTAATAGTTCTTCTACATCAAATGTTGAACTTGTAGAAAGTCAAAGTGAGGATTTTGGTGCTGCTTCTGGTACTACACCAGAAAATCCACCTTCAATAGAAGAATTTTCAAGAGAACTTTCAAGTGAAGAACCTTCCAAAGCCTTTTCACTTTAAAAAAAACCTTTCATTACTTGTTTACTATTTTTGAACTCTGAGAATATTTTAAGAGGAAATATTCTCAGATTTATCCTCTAAATTGGCATGCTTGGACTCAAGATATTTTTTAAGAAGCGGTGGTTTCATACTTTGATTGGATAATAGTTCATCGTAAACATCACATTGAGGTTGAGGGTCCATTTCATCTTGATTCCAAGTAATGATAAATAACTTTTGTTATATTTTCTATAAACAATTTTTCTTTTCTTTTCACCTTAGTGCTAGTAGATTGCCATGGATCCATCACCTGTGAATCATCATTTTTCTGCTTAGTCTCCTACCTATTTTTTGATTTTGAAAAATCTAGGTTTGTTTTACTACTTTTTCACAAATACTTAAATGCACAATATATTACGAGTTCTTCAAAAAAACAAATGATTATATTCTCAAATCACATAGAAAAGTAAGGAACGGAAATAAAAAAGAAGACAAAATACCTGCTGTTAGCAGCTGCAAATCGAGGTAAAAGGAAATTATTCTAATTGAAAATAGAGCAATATGGCCCAGAAATGGTGGCAAGGTAAAGTGTAGATATGTTAATAAATCGATCACTTATAAAACAATTAATGAGATACTGTTATCTTTTTTAGGAACTTGTCTTTATTTCCTGTTAAATATAACATCCATTTATATTACTCCCTTTAGTAACACCATTTATGACAAAATTTGTTATGTCTATGGCTAAAAGAATATTTGTGAAAATGAAAAGGCATTATTTTATTTACATTAATATTAGTCTATGAACAGGGATTGACCTTGAACAAAGCTTAGGTCCCATAAATTTATAAAAGTTGGGAGGGGGAGGGAAATAAACAGGATGTTGGGGTATTTAATTCTTTAATTTAATAGTTAAAAATATTTTGTTTCTACCACCCAGATGATAATCACTGGGTTAGATGGTTTGAACACAATGATGAAACTAAAAACTATGCTAAAGCAGTCTAAACTCAAAATCTGCAGTCATTTAATTGTTAATCTATTAGCAACAATTATAGCAATCCTGAGAAAAGTTCACAGTAATATTACTATATCTGGAACTTTGTTCTTGAGGTTGTATTTTGCAAAAAGAGCTTGAAAGAACCAATCTTTGATGTCTCTGTTTCATTTTCGGTAGCAATAATAGAAACAAAACTCAGAAACGTTTCTCTTTTTATGAGGAATTCTTTCCTGTTAATATCATTGTGGTTGTAGTTTAATTGATGTTTGTATTTATCATTAAAAGTTTCGACAGAATAAAGAATGTGTAACAAGATTATGTAGCCTTTTGAATCTCTTTGTGATTTCTTTAAATACTTTTTAAAGTGTAAAAACCATTTTTATTAATTTAATTCCATATGGCAATTCAGAATCTTGCTATTTTTCACCTGCTTCAGTGATCCACATGACTACCTCTAATATGAAGCCCTAATGTTAAAATGCATGTTAAAATGCCACCCCTTCTAGCTATGCCACTGGAGCTGTATTCCTTCTTGCAAAGGCATTCATTTTGTATTTTTAATTTAGTTTAAAAACTGAATTTTTTTAATTCTGATCTTATTTATTTATACAGGTTAGTTATAATGAAAGAGAGTGATACTAAGTCATCGAGAAAAAGGAAAAGGAGTGTCATTATCAGTAATGATAAATTTGTAATTGTTAGTTTGGAAAAAGAAGAATTTCCACCAAGAAAGAAACGTCCCTCCGTTTCTTCTGTTAATCAAAGTTATGTTGTTAGTAGGTCAAAAAAGAAGAAAAGAGAATCATGTTATGAAAAATTTATAAAAGATCTGTTTAATAGTTCTTCTACATCAAATGTTGAACTTGTACAAAGTCAAAGTGAGGATTTTGGTGCTGCTTCTGGTACTACACCAGAAAATCGACCTTCAGTAGAAGAATTTTCAAGAGAAGAACTTTCAAGAGAAGAACTTTCAAGTGAAGAACCTTCAAGTGAAGAATCTTCAAGTGAAGAACCTTCAAGTGAAGAACCTTCAACTGAAGAACATTCAACTGAAGAACCTTCAACTGAAGAACCTTCAACTGAAGAACCTTCAACTGAAGAACCTTTAAGAGAAGAACTTTCAAGAGAAGAACCTTCAAAAGAAGAACCTTCAAGTGAAGAACCTTCAAGCGAAGAACCTTCAAGTGAAGAAGAAGCTGAGTGTAATGAAGAAAACAATGCTTTCACTGATTTTTTGAACTCATTTCCTACTTTACCTGATAGCGATAACGAAAAGGAACAACCTTCTGTTTGTGAAGACAGTGACGGTTCTGCAAGTCGTCGAAAGGGTAAAGCAAAGAAACAAGAAAGTAAATCAGAGGAGAATGATTATCAGTTATTCAATGAATCAAAAATGGTTGTGGAAGAAACAGATGAGAAGCAGGTACATACTTTTGTCAATTATTTCATTGTACAGTGCAGAGTCTGAAATCTGAATGTCCAGTATCCCGACATCCATTAAAAAACAAAAAAAAAAAACCCTTTACAAATTCTGAGAATATAATGACAAAAGGAAGCAGGTGTTCCATAACTGTGATTCTTCTGTAGACTAACTGAGATTACTGCATATCATTTTCAAATACCTGCTGGGTGTGAGTTGCAGCATGGCCAGTAACAATGCATTGATTGATGTTAGTTGGAATCACACTTTCAACCCTTGAGTGGTTGTGGGAGGGGGCAGTGCTAGGGCTATGCATTTTTCTGCTTGATGTAATCTTTGTTAAGTTTAAATTCTATTGCCCTGTACATCCCTAAATTCCTAAAATTTTGCCACAACTAAACTTTTACTTCCCAGTGCCTCTCCTAAATACTAAAAATTTTGCCATCCCTAATTTTTGTTTTTTGATACTGCTCTGAATTCTAAAATTTTTGCTACCCTTAAATTCTGATGCCTGGTTGCTCCTGTTTTGGCATTGACTCTGTAAGGGATTATCGTTTTATCTCTCTTACCTAAATTATAAATGAAGCCTCAATGTTGCCATGTCTAGATTTAAAGGATCGATTTAAAATTTGAGTCGTTGAAGTTCTGATCGTTCCGATCTCAGACTTTGTATTGTAATAGCATTTATCTTATTGAATGATCTGTTATAAAGAATTTATGAATGACAAATTTCACGTATGTGATGGTAATGAAGTTTCTGTTTTACTTCTTGTTCATTTCTTCTCTTTCAAGTATTAAATACGAGGGCTATCCAGAAAGTAGATTACGTTTTGGAATAAAAAAATAAACAAAGTATAGGAAACAAATTTTATTATATACAGATGAAAGCCACACTCAAATACTACTTTTCTACATAGTCACCATACAAATTAAGGCATTTATCGTAGCGATGTACGAGCTTGGAAATTCCTTCGTTGAAAAATTCGGCCGCCTGCGCCTTCAACCACTTCGTTACCTCTTCTTGCAGCTGTGCGTCGTCATCAAAACGCTGCATAGCCAGCCACTTTCTTCATTGCTGGGAATAGGTGGAAGTCGCTCGGTGCCAGGTCGGGACTGTACGGCGGATGAGGAAGGAAACAACTCCCACTTAAAAGATTCAAGAACTTTACGAGTGACATTTGCCGTGTGGGGCCGGGCGTTGTCGTGAATCAACAAGATCTTAGAGCTCAACATTCCTCTGCGCTTGTTTTGAATTGCTCTTCTGAGTTTTTGGAGAGTTTGGCAATACCTTTGAGAGTTTATTGTAGTGCCTCTTTCCAGGAAGTCCACCAAAATTACACCTTTTCTGTCCCAAAAAACAGTCGCCATCATCTTCCTTGCCGACATTGTTTGCATGCATTTCTTGGGTTTTTGGGGAGAACTTGTGTGCCCCCACTGCATTGATTGCAATTTCGTTTCACAGTTCACATGTTTTCACCCATGTTTCGTCACCAGTAACGATGCGATCGAGTAAAGAGTCACCATCCTTATGGTAAGCGTCCAAAAAGTTCAACGCTGCAGCCATTCGCTGATTTTTGTGTGTCCTCTGTCAAGATTTTGGAATCCATCTTGCACAAAACTTGTGGTAACCAAGCTTTTCGCTGATGATTTCGTGCAACAAACTTCGCGAAATTTGTGGAAAACTCAAAGAAAGTTCCGTTATTGTGAAATTTCGATTTTCACGGACTTTAGCATCGACTTTTTCGAGAAGTTCGGCGGGTCCACTATGCTGGGTCTCCCACTTCGATCTTCGTCGTGAACATTGGTTCGGCCATTTTGAAATCTTATGACCCACTGACGCACTCCACCTTCAGTGATAATGTTGTCCCCATACACTTCACGAAGCTGCGCGATAGATTTCTATCGGTTTACAGTTTTTTGCAGTCAGAAACCTTATTACTGAGCGCACCTCGCAGCTCGCGGGATTTTCAATTAACGCAGACATTTCAAACTGTCACAGTATCTGAACGGAGCACAGCACGAACCTCTCACTAGCACGGCTAGATGCAGACTGAGCTGCGCAATGCTCTGACCCCAAGATGGCCGCGCTAGCCCCGCCCCTAGCGGACACAGACGGAAACGTAATCTACTTCCTGGATGGCCCTCGTATATACAATGTGCAATAATTATTAGAAATAAAAGTGCCTGTTTTAAGTTGGTTATTAGATGGGGGGGGGAGAAACTGACCACAAAATTATATTTAGAGCATTAGTTCCCACCTTTTTGACTAATGGTATCCTTTTTTTTTAGAAATAATTTCTATGGCGAAGACTTCATAGATGTTCCCCTGTTTCACCAATTAATGGTATTTAGGTGTAATATAATGGGGTAGGAAAAGGGGAAAGATCCTTTAGAATTGTAAGCTAAGGAGCTATCTAAAACAGTTAAGGCAAAAATGTCGCAGAGAAAACAGTACAAGGCAAAAACATTGTGGGAGACAAGAAAGAAAACAGATAACATCATCATTGAAAATAAAGTGTTTTGAAAACATTGTCATAGAAAAAATAGCATTAAAAAATAAAGCATATCTAATATTTTGTGCATTTTTCAAATCAGATAATGGTGGTTCAGTGAGTTCACTAATTTTAACACTTTTACATTTTTAACAATATTTTAATTACTATATACAGAGCGTATTCTTAGGCCGCCGCCTTCAACATAAACAAACTTTATTCTCAACTATGCGAGCAACAGCGCCCTCTAGCCTTTTCCTTCAAATTACACAACACTCCCCACTTGAACTTGGTGGAGAGTTCATCTTTCAATAATATATTCCAGAATATTCAATTAATATTTCGACAATCAATCCTAGAAAAATGGTTAAATATAACAAACATGCATACATAATTATAAGCACATAAATTTTACAAAATATTAAATGATACCCATCAGCGAGGTCAGGAGAATCAAACCTAAAAATACAAAATACAGTCAAAAGTCGTTAATCCGGACTCGTCGGGACTTTGGCGATTCCGGATTATAGATCATCGGTTTAAATCTGGTAAGATGGCATGCAGAAATTATAAAATTAAAAATATGAAACCTTAATTATGAAATAAAGAACAATTAGATCTAAAGGGTATCAAAATTTCAAAAAAAAGCTTAATTTATTTGTTTACTTTATTAAATTTCTTTCAAGTAAGTCGTTTAAGTTGCTTCGTTTTTTATGTGATTAATACATTCTCTTTAATTCTATAACAGACCAAATTTCTTGTTCAGTTACAAAGTTCCACTGTTCAAGTCCTATAATTGCTGTGTCTATCGACTAATTTGTCAATCGAAATTTTTTCGTTTTCAATAACCTCTGTTACTTTCTTCGCTATCGGAAGCGAATTATAATGACAAGGAATTTGATTTAAATCATATAAAGGACGGAGTACACTAAGATGAAATACTACATTTAGTAAGGAATTATAAGCCAAATAAAATAAAAACATTTGCCCTGAAGATAAGGATAGTGCTGACAAAGGATAAAGATGCCTTTATTTATATAAACAAACACTTTTTGTTTAATGAACTTTGAAACATACTTTCGCTTTGTAGATCCTTTACATATTAATAAATATATATCAGAAATTCTATTTGACATAATCGAAAGTTCAAGCTTACTTTTATAATACTGCTCTAACAGTCTGCAAAAAATAATAAGCCAGATCCAATTCGAAGATGAAGAAACAACGCAATCTGCAACATTAACTGAATTAGATAATTTTAGCTTAGTTTATACCGTCCATTATACATTAAACGCGCATTCGTAAACGTATTTTGCACATGCGCACACGGATATTCGCAGCCGTAAAGGTCTTACGCGCATGTGCAGAAAGTTTGTAGCTTTGAGGTCCAGACTATAGATTATTCCGCATTATGGGTGTCCGAATTAACGACTTTTGACTGTATAGTCAAACCGAAAGCTACGCGACACATTTGCATAATCTTAAAGGAGTCATTATTTTCATGAAACCAAAGAAATTTTAGAAATTGTCTGTCACCTTCAGCAATTCCTATCATCAAAAAGTCTTTTTCAACGTCTCCACAAAACGCTATCTTAAACTTACGAAAATTTAACATAATGTCTAGTATATTTGGATTTAGATTAGGTCCGGATTCAAGGCAGTCATTTAACGAATTCGTGTCCTCTGTCCTTGAGCTAGCATCGTACACAATTCTTACCTTAGTAGTTTCGCTAGGTCGTATCACTGCTTGGTGCGGCATAAAATATCCCAAATTTGTATCATTATTCGGACATTCCTCCACAATTCCTTCTAATATCTGGTTCTCAATTGTATTTTTATATTCCTGAAAAATCTCCGGAGTTTTACTTTAGTTTATTGTGAAGGTTTGCGAATCGTTTCTTAGCTACCTTAAAATTGTTTCCTAGATTATTCGGACTGTATTTCCAGATTTAAATTTGCCTCATATCTTCCGTTTTTTTTAAACTGCAAATTTCTTTCAAACTGGTCTACTATTTCGCAGTCAATATCGGAATAATCATCAGAATCATTAATTCCCATATGTTCTAATTCCCCAAAACCTCTTAAATCTTTCAACACAACAGTGTTTGTCATTACCGCTAAATTTTCAGAACAAGTTTTATTTGTTTTATATTTCTCGATTCCTGCGGCAACACCAACCAAACACAGAACTGAACTGCGTACAACCCTTCAGATATTTTAATTCTTTCTGAATAAACTACATTCCAGAATTCATCCCTGCCAATTAATCTCTCAACATCTATGTTATTTTTCTTGAGCAGTCCGCGATCTGCAAAGCCAGATGCTCCATGAAGTCTGCAATTTGTTTACTAGGCACACTGATGGGCGCCGAGGAAATAACATCCGAGATCAAACATTCAATTTTTATTTTATTATTTTGTTTCCAATTCTGAATTTCGATTTCAATGACCGGATAGGAAGGATTCATTGCCTTGGTCACACCAAATGAATAAACAGAAAGTCTTTCATAACGGATTGGAGTAAGTTATAAAAAGTTGTAAATCGTCGGCCAATTTT